CAAAAGGAACAGCTATTATCCTCAGAGAAACAATGACTTGTGGATAATGGATACACAATACCCAATGTATTCTACATTAGCATGATATAAACATTTTAGGCAATGAGATATTAAATATCTAGACACAGTATAGCCTATAAAACCAGAGCCACTGACTGTATTCTGTTAGTGCAAACAAACTGATAGGATAGATAATCCATCTAATTTATAGGCTAATGTATCATATTTCACAATATTGGGGAATTACATACCAAACATAACCCTTACAATTGAAGTCACAAAGAAAATATACAAGTACTAGGAATATTAGTGAGCCTGATATGAGCGGGATGAATAATGGTCCAAAAGGTTAGATTAGTAACATTTCTGGTTGGCTTCAAAATATAATGAAGGCAACACATTTTTTAAGAATGGGGACTTGAGTTTTAAAAGAAAAATTTGAGCAAGTCCATGTGTTAGAGAAAAGACTGCAGGAGATAGGGAAGCCAATCCCTTCTTATTCAAAACATACATAAACTGATAATTAAGAATTGGCTAGAATCCATTTTAATATTGAAGTCTTGAAAGTAAGATGGTATGGTAGAAATGGTAGTAATTAAATCACTTCATCACTAAAAATCACATTAAATCAAATTAAATGGAGTTAAATCAGAGCAACCATTTACTTTATCTTCCTGAAAGTTATCCTTTTATTTTTTTAAGACTTTATGTATTTATTTGAGAGAGAGAGAGAGATTGGGAACACGAGCAGGGACGAGAGGGAGAAACAGGTTGCCTGCCAGCAGGGAGCCCAACGTGGGACTCGATCCCAGGACCCTGAGATAAGGACCTGCCAAAAGCATATGCTTAACCGACTGAGCCACCCAGGCACCCCACTGAGAGTTATCCTTAAACATGTCCTCTACAATATACCCTGTATACAGATTGCATGTCTCCTGAAAGTGTGTGTGTGTGTGTGTATTCAACTACTACTAACCTTTCAAAGATATTGTCTGACTTTATATTTTCCTAAAAATACCACACTTTATCATTTTAAAAGTACCACTCCTCTGTCAATAGGTTAAAAAAATCACTAATCAAATTAATTTGCTGTGTGTTTGGGACATTCTTAAGAAAGCACAAAGGAATCATAGGCAGAATGACTCTCGTGATGAGATTGTAAGATAAAACCTCCTCCAAGCATGATCGTCTCCCCTGGCTGGGACACTATAGATCATCTTCTCTCTCTGGAATAAGAAAGCACAGGGAATGAGGCATCCTGGGCCTAGCCCACTCATCTAAAGGACAATGCAGGTTATATTACAGCAAGAACACCTTTTTTATTTTTTTAATTTTATTTTTTAAACTTATTTATTTATTTATTTGACAGATAGAGATCGCAAGTAGGTAGAGAGGCAGGCAGAGAGAGAGGAGGAAGTAGGCTCCCTGCTGAGCAGAGAGCCCGATGTGGAGCTCGATCCCAGAACCCTGAGATCATGACCTGAGCCGAAGGCAGAGGCTTAACCCACTGAGCCACCCAGGCACCCCAAGAACACCTTTTAAATACATATGCCACGTGCTTCTCTCCCTAAGAAGCTTCTGCTTGGAATGAGAGGAATAACCAGTCTGGAGAACGGAAACCATGTTAAACACTGAAATTGACAGTTTAAAACGTACTTAAATTTTAATGATGACATCCTAATTTGTGAAAAGAGGACAGAGATATAATATTCATCCGTATCCTTTCATTACGAAATTGTTCCACCCACAAAAATGAATTAGATGTTTATTTTCTTAAGAAAAACCACCATATCTGTTTTTTGCCAACAATTGACACAGAAGGGCAATTTCTCCTCCCTAAACACGGTAAGACAATTGTGCACTCATTGATCATCCTAGGACAGATCATTCAAGTCCTGTTCCTGACAGATGAGTTAAAGACACGCCAACTCATAATGCAGGCATTACCGCAGTTTCCTTATGATATAGCAATAGACAGGATTTTTTTTTTATGACATGCCCTTATGATTTCTTCTTGCTGATGTTAATAGTAAATGCTAAAATATTCTGTGTAAGCATTTGTTAGGCTGGAAAAAGAAAGAAACTCTAATGCAAGTATTTATACCTTCCGCAATGAAAACAAGATATTATTGCTTTGCGTGACCTTTCCTAAGTATGGGATACAGCATTTTACACAATAGTTTCTTGGTTCATGCTTCAATTACTGACCTTTACTATGCAGAAAATTAATGCAATTTTCATTGTAATCCATCCGTACAAATAAGGTCCACATAGAAGAATTCCACATTTGGAATCTAATACAAATAGGAAATGTCAGCTGATTGCTGTTCGCTGAACTTAACCATTATCTGTTTGTTCAGGGGTCCCCAGCAAACTACACTTGGAACAAGCAATTTCTTGTGTGGGCCATCAGGAATAAGAAAGAAATATCTCCTCTCTTCAAAGTTTAGTTTGTACAGTTAGTTTCCTAAAAGCCCATAAAGTAGTTATCTGAAGGTTCTTTGTTACATCTGAAAGTGCAGAAACACACACACACGTGCACAATTGTGCAATCTAATTTGGCTTCTCATACAGGTCACCACCATGGACTTCTGACAGTGAAAAGGAGCAAAAGGTTACAGTGATGTCATTTTATAATAATCCCCCTTCCAGACAATAAAAGTATGACAGACCCCAAACCACGTCCTGGTCCGTGCATCAGAGACTTGCAGAATATACAGAATGCATCCATCTCCCGAGGAAGCTGTGCCGCGGGGCCCCGACGTGCTTTTATCTTCCACAGTCCCCAGTTATGGTATTTGGTGGGAAGGGGTGCTAGCAATTACAGACTGTTACTTTCAAGATGGATAGTCTAGATGGAAAGGAGTTTCCTCTCTTCTTCTGGTTTGGAAGGAAATGGCTGTATGTTTATAATTTGTAAACAGCTCATCGCTCACTGGGTGTGTTACAGTTCCCAGAGGCATGGCCTGTCATATCTCACATGCAACAGAAGCCAGGGGGGTTCTGTGGGTAAGCTCTTTGGTACAGCACAAGATGGAGGGCAGTGGCCCCGTGGCTGTGTGCGCGGGTCTATGGCAAGCACGTCTCAGCTGTGGAGTCTGGTCTATGTGGAGAAGGACGGATGGACTGTAATATATATTGGGATGTAGTGGGCTCCAGAAGTCTTAAAGTTGAAAATTCCTCTTTACTTTACAAAGCTCTCAGAGATGGGAGATTGAAAAGATATGGATAAGGACAGCAAAGTTTACCAGTCTCCCTAAACAGTAGAAGGGTTGTGGTAAACACAAGGAGGTATACGTAGAAGTCAAAATTTCATTTTAGATTTATTCCTCTGGATAATCTGAAAGGCCAACAAAACAGAGGAAGCAAACAAACATGGCCATGCTGTGGCCATTAAAGGCCCTATGAGAACACTGTAATAGAAGTATATCGTGAACAGCACTGTCCTGAGGGAAATATGGAATGTCCTAACGCCCTGTCTATAACAGGGTTGGTGCACCTGCTGTGGGGACTGCAATGCTTGGATAAACACAAGAGCTCCAAGGCTCTTCCATGTAGATGCTATGGTTCCAACTCAGTCATTCTTACCCAGGAAGGCTCAGCACATTTGTCTCTCCTTCCAGATGCCCAGAGCCCCAGACAGTCCTTGAGGCACCTCAGTAGAAGGTTGGCTTATGACAACCACTGGTCTAGAATCCATGGCCTGAATTTGTTGCTTGCCAGTTCACACCACTTTCTCACTCATTTCCTTCTTGTTGGAAGCTCTGCTTTATCAGATGGGCCAAAGACACATGGTCACAATGCTCTCTAAAGGACAGATGACGCCCTCTTCTATTGCGGGCTCATTTTAACAGACAGAGCCAAACAGAAGAAAATATTCCTCACTTCCTAGCCTTGGTAAATAAAATTTAGCATGTGGCCTCGTAAAGGTTTAAAATAATTTCTTTTAATACGTGTGGTTCTTTTGGTAAAACATCCTATCACCAGGCAGGTTAGCTTGGCTGTGACAATTTTTCATGCTCAAGGAGTTATATTACTCAGAAGCAACTCCCATCGATTCATCAAGAAGAAAGCTGCATCTGTGTGACCTTATTCTGAAAAGAGTCAATTCCATTTTTTAAAAATATTATGCTTTATTTTATTATTTTGCTATTAATGATCATTTTAGCACAACAAATAAGATTCCCTTTGTCATCTACCCAATTTGCTTCAAATGGGCAAAACCATCTGGCTCACCCAATTAATTTTAGGGCTGTTTGTGTCATGGAGCCAGTGTTTTTTAATTCATTGCCATTTTCTGGGTATTTTATATTGGATACTTAACTCTTAAGATCCCCCTCCCCTTTCACCTTTTCCCCTCCTGCCAGCCTCCTCCACACAAACATCACAAACCCCATCCACCCACAGGTTCTAGGGGGCTGGAAGTCCATTAAGCTGGTAGCATCTCATTTGGCATTTCCACTTTTTTCATTTTATTCCAGAAGGTTTGTCTGAAAGCGTAATGACAACAAAAGCAGCAGATTTGAGAGATTCTCCCAGGAGAAGAAAAAGGACAGATGTACACAGACATATAGCTGAAAACATTGCCAGCAACAGCTGGGAAACTGACAGGCTCTGAAGTGGGTGACCACCCCACAGAGCGCAGACGGGAACCTAAAGGAACAGCAATTTTACTTGATTTACTTTTGACTTCCTAGACTACCTTTTATCTACCTTTTACACACCGAGGGGCAGGCTCTTACGATCTTCACTTGAATCAAATGACAGGCCTCCTTTAGGTACGCTTTTTATAATATTTCGGTAATTCCTTATATTTTTACCCCCTTTTATCCTCACTTTATAAGATCTCTTAAAAAGAATATCCTTTATAAATTACAAATATATTACTATGCTGGACAGTTCATAGTACTGAAAACAAACAAACGGCAGTTTGATTCAACCAGAAACGTGCTATCTGCTGACCACGTTAACACCCCCTTTCACGAGTTTCCCTGACTCACCTTGTCCTCTTCATCCTCCTCTTCCTCCAAGTCTGTGCTCTCCTGAAAGGAAAAACCATGGTTTGTTCATATAACATCCCTTGAAATTACTAAATGCAAATTAAACCCATATACACTTTTTACTTTTTTTTTTTTTCTACGTAACTGAAGCACTCGTGGTTTTTAAATCCATTATATAACCTCTCAAAAAATAATGCTCCTAAAGTTCAGGGACACTGTGGAAAGACTACAAACACTATGCATAATCTACATAAAACTTAACTATAAATAAAGCGATCAGGCAAGTGGCCTTTGAAGGTACCCAGCTTTAAAAATGCATCGCCAGGCTGTACGTTCTGTAAACAGTTTGTTCTTATTCTGACAAATGAGCCAACTGATATGTTAAGGCTGAGAATACCGTACTGGGTTTGTGCTGGGCTCATTGTTATAATGACTGCTCTTTTCCTTTGGGGCCATTACTGAAACATTAGACAGTAGGAAATGCATTAGTCTGAATATAATCAATCTCAAGAATAAGTTACAGGTTTCTGTGCATTATTACTGTTTTCCTTGGGACTCTCGGAGGGGGAGTGGGGGCAGGTAAGGGAAGCCAACTCGGGCTCTCATGGCCACTAACAGGCACCTGGCTTTAGTCTGGGGACCAAAGCACCAGGTGCTGTGAATAGACTTGTTTAGATCAGTGTAGAAATCTTGACTGTTTACCAGGTAACTTTTAATTGTATCAGTGCAATATTTAAAAGCCAACACAGTCCAGGCGGGCCAGGAGCTCAGAAAGAACGCTGGGTATACAAAAACTAAAGTCCGTTTACAGCCTGAGCACTTATTTTCCACTCAACCATGTTGCAAAGGTCAGGCATGCTGTTTAGATGTCATTTTTCTAGTAGTCAACAGGATTGTCAGTACCATGTTCTTAAAGAAAGAGTAACTCTGAAGTATGCAGAGAGTACTCTACCATACTCCCTAAAACCACTGAGCAGTTACCCAGCAATTTCTCCAAGACCACTGCTCCATTACCTCCCAGAATTCCCATGAGCTGTAGCCAGCTCTGTGTGGGACCCTCGACGGATGCTGGAGAACTCACCTAGTCACCATGGACAGCACACGTTTCATGAAAGCAAATGGGTAAAAACGCACATAATAAAAACACGCCATGGGAGGAAGAACACTGTAATTTGGAGTTAGAAGCCCAACTTGGGACAAAGTCTTTAGCTTGGGACACTGTTCAAGGACGTCCTGTTGTGTGACCTTGGGCAAATCACCTTGTCCCTCTAGGCCTTACGTTCCTCAAGCATAAAATAGAAATAGTAATTCCTGCCTCCTTCATGGTTGTGTTATCAAGATTAAAATAGGTAATGCATGTGAAAGTGTTCTGTAAATTGAAAAGATTTTACACACACACATTTATAATCATATGCACGTAAGTATTCTTATGTACCCATACATATCTACCTGCCTACACATGCATACACATCATGTATATGATAGCTGGAAAACTAAAATCTGATCAAAAATTGTAAAAATGTTAGTTGACAGCATTTTTTATTAAAGATGTTTCTCTGTGAAAAGGTCCCTCATCCCTATTCTCATTCCCATATCTGTGTGCAACTTACTCCTTAAACAATCCTATACTTTAAAGCTATTTATTTATTAGTTGGTTCTAGCATCATTAGGTCCCTCATTATTGAAATACGTCCATGTCTCCCTCATCAAAACAATCCAATATCAAACAGAATAGAATTTGGAATTTGCCTGAGGTTTTTCCTCCCTGCCAAAAAATCTCATTTTCTCTTCTTCCTTTCTACCCCCCAAATGATACCAGAATATCCCTTCAATTTCCATTATTTCATAGTTTTTTTTTTAATAATAGCATTATAAGGAAAAATGGGTGAAGATCATCAGCTTTTGGGTCTTGAGAAAACCACTACTATCAAGTCGCAAAATCCTAGACTTTAGTTTTAAAAATTCATTTCTTGAATCTGGAATTCCAAAATAATGCCCTAAAGCAAGTCTACAAATACTAGTTCTTATTCACCCAGACCAGGAAAATATCCTCTGGGCTGGAATAAGTAAATAGGGGAAGCTGAGTCAGAAAGTATGATAAGTAGATGATAGGGGATGTCATGCTGTTTGCTTCCTTCAAGATCATGGGAAGCTTGAGATTTTCAGGACCTGGGCACCCAAAAATGGAGCTGCCCATGCATGCCCACTCTCTGATTTCCCTAGAAGTTGGCCAGCCTCTGAAGGCTTCAGGCTAGGATGTCTGGGTGGAGAGGCGTAAGACAGTCTTCTAGTCTTTCCGTGCCCTGAAGGAGCTCAGTGAGATGCCAAAGGCTTTTTTCAGTGGATGAGAATGCTATTCATAGGAGCCTTGCAGATAGCCTTGCAGATAACTTGCATGGACAAACAATGAAATATGCTGCCACTTTGGTAAAAATGACCAAGCACCAGAGGGCTCTCCTCACGCTAAGAATGTAGACCAAGTCTCAGAAGCATAACACAGAAGGACAACTCCAGGTTATACCCAATAAAAGATCACCACTATCACATAAATGTATGTCCAATGTTGCTCTCCTCAAGTCTCAAACCAAGTGGATTTGGGTCACGATTTGGTGGCAGTTGGTTGTTATTACCACCTTTTTTCCTCTGGTCAAATGTCACAGTTACTAGAACCTTCACTCACCTGGCTGTCCTGGATGCTGCCAACCTTCCCTTTTGTGGGTGTGATGAAATTGTAGATGAACAGTAGCAGTAACACCAGGGGGATCATGTACAGTTCAAAATTCCAGACAGTGACTAAAAATACCTGATTGGAAGATAAAATAAAATCATTGCTTGAAAAATCAGTATGGGAATAAACTTAAAATCCTTTGCATGGACTTAAGGAAATTAAATCCAGGACACTCTCTCTACAGTAGCTTTTAGGAACAGTTACAGACAGGCTAACACACACACACACACACACACACACACACACACACACACACACACACACACACAATGAACAGTTTTAGAATCGGCCGTAGAATGAAGAAGATCTAGAAATAAGTAGGCCAGTCACATTCTGAAATAGACAATATTGTAGCCTCATACCTAGAAATTCCATTACCCCATCAACTATATTCAGTTTTTTGCTCTGAGATTTACCAGAATTTAGGAAAGTAGTATGGAAAAATCCAAGGTCTCCGAGTCAGGCCACAGACCAAATTTTGCCAACAGTATGGTTTATTGGAGCTGTAGACTGTTAATTACTTCTTAAATTGGCTGCTAATGTTTAAAAATCCAAACAGTTCAGATAAAAACTTCAGATGGCCAAAGTCTCTTTAAAAATCTTAAAATTTTCCAATTTTGAGGCTGGATGGTCACAAGGAAATTATGGGCTAGAAGTGCCTGCATCAGACCAGGTATGTGCTTTACCAGCCCAATTGCTGTCAGCCTCCAGATTTGTGACCCTCCCTACAGAAAGACAACCAAGAGCTTGGGTTTGAATCCAAGTATCTATGTGACAGTGGTCATGGGAGACATAAATGCAAATAAGACACGGCCCTACCTCCAAGGAATAAGCAAATTAGGACAAATAAGAAAACAACCCATGATAATTACAATGAGGCGAGAGTGAAATCACGGGGAAATGATTTCAAAACTTGAGCCTCACTTTCTTTTCCAATCCACAAGTGGTCCAGAGGATGAAATGAGATAATCTGTGGTTATCAGCTATTAGTGCTTATAAGGGCTTGAAAAGAGTCACTCTTACATCAACGTAGAAGAGGCAAATTACTGCATCTTAAATATTGATTCTTCTTTTCTCGAAGCAATATCACCTATTACTAAAAACATTTTATACCATGTTAAAGTTTTATTTTGTAGGTATTATATGTATTTCCTGCTTATTTTTTGTTTACTATTCTAAATGCAATAATTTCTCCCATTCTACATTTCAAGCAGATAAATAAAAGCTAATAATTGTACATATTAATTTTTTAAATTAGTAACTTCATAGAATTTTCTTCAAATAGGCTATTATTTCACTTTTGGGGAGTTTCTAAGAATACATTCACACAATCTACAAATAATTTTTCCTGTTTCCTCTCGTCTAATATCTATAGCTTACTTTCTAATAGGTATACTTACTTTCATTACTATTAACTAGACAATTTTAAATCAAACTGTTGAAAGTGATATTGTCTAATTCTTGAATTTTATAAAAATGCTTCTATTTTTATAATTAAGCATGGTGTTGATTTTTGAGCTACATAAATCATTTTGTATTAAGAATATGCAAATAAACCTTTTTTTAAATTAGAAAGTTCACATAGAAGCATTCATTTTATTATTATTTTAAAAATATTTACAAATCCTTTTAATAAAAATATTTGAAAAAGAAAAATATTTTTAATAATACCACATCGATTTTAACAAGGATTTATTTAATTCATATTATTTTTTAATTCAGGAATGGAGGAGGGCGAATGATTAATTGTTCTTTCACTATCTTCTGAAATAAGGAGGGTTTTTCCTTCTCATTTTAGAACCTCAACATGGTATATTGTATTTATGATTTCCAAATATTGAAGTGAATCTGTATTTCTGGAAGAAACGTCCCCTTTAGTGGGCTGTAATGGTCTTACATTGTACTTTGAATTTTATTTGCTAACACTGGAAGATGTTTTACATTGATACCCATGTGCTGTCATTTCCTTTTTATTTTATTTTCAGGTTGTAGTACCAGGATTATTTTAGTATCATTACTTTGGTACACTCCATTCTTTCTTTCTCTATACCAAGGATAATTTTTTCATGTCCTATTATTAAATATACCAAGAATGAAAAAAATATACATAGGCTAATTTAACAAATACCCATGCACCTGCGTGCATGAAGACTTGTAAATGTGTTGTCAGTTTTCTTTCCAATTTATGTATTAGTCTTTTTAAAAAATAAAACATTTCAGATAATTGGTATTCATTGTCAACTCTTCACCTACTACCCTCAACTGACTCCTCCCATTCCCAGAAGCCACCATGTCTGAAAATGGAGGTGAATCTTTGCCATCTGAGGACCTCTATGGTTTATTTTAGAAACAACATAAAGAGCATCAAAATGTTCCCATCACTCTGAATTTTTTTATTCAATATTATGTTCCATAGATCTGTTGATGGTATAGGTATAAATCAAGTATATTCATTTTTAGGGGTATCCGAGTGGCTCAGTCAATTAAGCATCTAATTTGAGCTCAGATTATCATCCTCAAGTGCTGGGATCAAAACCCATATATCCCTCTCCTTCTTCCCCCACTCGTGTTCTCTCTCTCTAATCAATAAATCTTCTTTAAAAAGTATATTCATTTTAACTGATACATGGTACCCCATTCAAATTAATGTTCAGTAATTTATACATTATCCTCTCATCATTAAAAACTTAAGATGAAACTTTTTATACTTTTTAATGTAGTCAAACATACTCACCTTCAACCTTAAAATTCATGCTCTTCATGTTCAATGTTCTACTTAAGGAATCACATTCTACTCTGAGATGATAAAGTTATTTCATTGTGTTTTCTCCCAAAAGATAATTGTATGTGTGTGTTCCTCATTTTTTGTCTCAAGTGGTTTTTTGGCTTATAGTCAGAAAAAAGCATCCAATTTGGATGCTTCTGGAGAGCCAACTTATACAACTAGATTGTGGTATCAATCCCTGTTTTTGTTCACTATTTCCATTGACACTTCTGCTACATACCAAATTCCCACATGGGTGTGTTTATTGTTTAAGGACACTCCAATCCTGTCCATTGATACATATTCTATTTTACCAAGACCACATCTTTAACTGTAGTTTAATAACCAGATGATATGAGTGAGCAAGTTGGTATTATTTTACCTTCAAAATTATCTCTGGTAGTTCTTTGTTCTTTACCCTTCTACATGTATTTTAAAACCAATTTGTAATGTTCCATAAAATTCTTGGTGAAATGTTCACTGGGATAGCCTTGAATGTATCTACCAATTTGGAGAGAACTGACATCTTGGTACTGGCTTTCCAAATCATAAAGATTATTTGTTTCTCCATATATTCAGGACATTTCTGTATCTTAAAATATTTTATTACTTTCATCATGCTGATGAAAAACATGTGATCATTTTGTCTATGTTTTATTATTATTTTTCCGTGTAACTTAAGAGTTTTGATACTATTATAAATGAGGGCATTTTACATTTATATACTTTAATTGGTTACTTCTGGGCCCAGGAACATAGATTTCTATATGTTGTTCACATTATTTTGGTCCCCTCTTATCAGCTGTAGGGGATTTCAAATCTATCCTTTTGGAGATCTGCTGTGGAAAATCATATAAACTGCAAATCATGACAACATCTTTGTTGTTGGTGGTGGTTTTTTTGCCGTCCAATCTAGGTGTTACTTACATTTTCTTTCAGTGCTAAATCTCCAAATTTTTTTTAAGTATAGAATTTTTAAAATGCTTTTTGAATCAATGCATATTATTATGTTGTTGATTTCCTCCAGGCTATTCATCTGGTATGCTTTATCAGTTTTATTTACTGATTTATAATTTATATTTTCTTTTACTTTTCTTTTTAAGGTTCTTTTACTTTTATGTCTTGTTTTTCTTTGATATGATCAACAGAGTGAAGCAGAGAAAATGGTACATTGATTCCTCTACTAGATAAAGCTAGAGAATTTCCTAATTTTTACCTATTTCTTTCTTTATTTTTAAAGTTCTTTTAGGACTAGAAGTTTTAACTGATTTTAACTGTGTTCTAAATGGTTACTATTCCTCAATGTCTATCTACTGGATAAGTGAAATTTTATTGTTTTTTTACATTGCTAAATATAACTTCAAGTGAAGAGGCTGACACAAAACTATTGGGAAAAATTAGGAAATAGCATATTTTTAATTTATTTTCCTCATCATAAAGCTATTTATAAAATGTCTTTAACAAAATTACTTGTACATCAACTAATATTAGAAGGCTGTTGTGCTAGATAAATACCTCATTTGCCATAACATTTGCATCTATCAAGTATAGTTAAGTAACATAAGAAAGTGTTTTATAACAGAAATTGAGCAGCATTTAAATATCACATTTAAAGGACTCATAACTTTCAGAGTGAGTCACTAGTTCACTCAGAAATATTTTTAAGGGGTGCCTGGCTGGCTTTGTGGATAGAGCATGTGACTTTCTCTTAGAGTTGTAAGTTCAAGCCCCACATTGGTTGTGGGGCTTACTTAAAAAAATTTTTTTTGAATCAATCTATAACTCCTACCTCTGTAATGAACAATTAATTTCCTAATAAACACCTTCTAGCAAAATAATAATAATATTAATAATACTAATACCTGAAAACAAATTTTAAAAAAAGACCAGTGATAATTGGTAGACTCTGATAGTTGGTAGAGAGACCTGAGATTCTGATCCATGAACTTTGCATGGAAGTGCAAAGCTTAAAGAAGAAATCAGATCTGCATGGGGTCACTGTAACGTTTTCGCATCTTTCCTTCAAGAGCAGCTGCTATCACAATAATAATACCAGTTGGTTAAAACTCAAAAGAAAAATTTGCCATCTTTCTGAATGGATGAAACCGGCAAAGAAATTGGGGACAATCAGAGCCATGGTATAGAGGAACACTGGAAGGAGAGAACAAGCAAAGGAAAACCCCAAATTCTGTATGTGAACTTTGCTGCAGTCTCTGCCATAGATGTGGGGGCAGATTCAGAGCAGTCTTAACTGGGATCAGAGCTGCCACCCACAGGAGGTGTGACAGAATTTGCAGTTTGAGTTTAATGA